CGATCCGGCCTCTCCTCCTAGCCTTCCTAGGAAATAAATCAGTCAGCCTTCCTAGCCCATCGATCCCTATAAAATTTGATGCCATTGATGCTTATGAAATAAATCAGTTAGATCAGTAAAAAACAGAAAACCGAACTGAGACGCTCGGTCTTGAGAATTTTGTACAGTGACTTTTGGTTCTTATTTTTCAACTAACCAAATTATTTAAAAAACCAAACCGAATTGTGTCGGTCTAACCAAATACCAACCCCTAAGGTCAGCTCATGAATATGATGAAATATCAAAGATAAGGCCATTCACAGTGTGCTTATTTGGCGTTCGGCCCTGGCCTGCCACATCAGAGATTCGCAACACGTCCGCATCTGCCGCTACCAACATGAAGACCACGTAGCCAAAGTGAGACACCCATTCTTCGTCTGAGTTTGTCAGGGCAGGTCGAGGCATGAGTTGGGCGATGCGTTGGGCGAGGGCGTGGCCCCATGCGACGCCCCTACACCCCGTGCGAGGCAGTGGCGGTTGCCGGCGAGGCCACCACCCCGAGAAGAGAAGAATGGAAGATGGCGGTTACGGGAGAAGAGGAGTCGATAGATTTGGCACCAAACCTCATTTTCGTCGCTGTTTCGCTGAGCTCGTCGTCGTGCCCCGATCCACGCCACCGACCCATTCGCAGCACTAGGTTCCTTGCCGCGTCGCCGTTGCCGCCCAACGCCATTGAGCTCGTTCTTGCCCCCGCCACCGCTAAATCCATTAGAGAGAGAGAGAGAGAGAGGAGGAGGGGAGAGCAGAACTCGCCACGGTGGTAGAGATGCCCACTGCTGTCGAGTCACCGCCACCGCCACCGCCACATCTTCTCCCAAGCAGCACCAGCAGAGTGGGGGAGGTAGAGCGGCGGCGGTGTTGGTAGGAAAGGTGTCGACGGATGGGGGGAAGGGAGAGCAGCGCTGATGGTGCGGTGAGTAGCGTCATTTTTGGGAATGCAGAGCAGCGCCAGAGAGGGGATGGGAGGGAAGTGGTGACGGAGGACAGAGGTGGAGTAACCGGCAAGATTTGAGGCAGAGAAAAGAGAGACAACTAACTAGTGGGGTAGGGGTTCTTTTGTATGCATCTTAGAGCTAGTAAGGTTCCCTATGCAAAATAAATGATTAGTATAGAATATAATCTAAGAACTTCAATGAAAAATATATGGGTTGAATTGCATATAGCACCGTGGATCCATTAAGGACACCGTGTATTATAGAAGTAGTACCTAAAAAACTCCCCGCCTACATGGCTCTTGCTTTTTTTCCTTGGGTCAAGGTATGAGGATGGGACGCATTATGAATGGCCTAAGGAATCAATTTGTTTTACAATGGATTGAAAAATAGCAAAAGTAGTTATAGAAACTTACTACCTCCGTTCTAATATAAGTGCAGTTATTAGTTTCCGTGTCTAACGTTTGATCGTATGTCTTATTTGAATAAATTAAAAAAAAAAGTCACACATAAAGTATTATTCATGATTTATCATCTAATGAAATAAAAATACTAATCATAATTTTCTTTCAAATAAGACAGACGGTTAAACGTTGGACATAAAAAATCATAACTGCACTTATATTGAGACGGAGGTAGTAAAAAAGTTAAATAAGTTGTGCAATCTCCTGTGCAAAACAGCGCCAACATCTTAACAATATCCTTTTCTGGTAAAGAACCGACAAGTCACAGAAGCAGCAGCTACCAAGAAGAGAACAGAGGAGTAGTAGTAGCTAGGAACACAAAGGCTGTATTTAGTACAGTGTAAAGTTTGTATTTTGGTTGAAATTGAAGATGATGTGACTGAAAAGTTGTGTGTATGACAAGTTGATATGATAGAAAAGTACTAAAGTTTGGATCCCAAACTTTAAATCTAAACACAGCCACAATACGAAAACAGATGAACCAATGCAGGGAGCTACTCCAGCCAGCTTTGAAAACACCCGTATACCTGCAGTGGAACCGCGAGCAACCGGTCGCCCGGCAGGAGGCAGCTCCAGGCTCCAGTTCTGATCCATGTCGACCACACCATGCATGAACTCCACATCGGCACTCTTGTCTTGTGGGCTGGGCGACATTCCGCTTTGCGCCCCCTCTGAACACCAACACCACAGGGCGCCCGGCGCCATCGCACGTTCGCGCATCACGTGAAGCCCTCGCCGCCTCTTGGCGCTGGCGGCGGCTCGGCCGCGGACTGACGGACCGCGCGCGGGCTGGCTGTGGCTTGTCGCTGGCCCATGCAGCCCCCTCGTACGGCTCGCGAATCGTGCGACCTCTGCCGCTGCCGACCTGTGCTCATGGACATGTCGCTACCTGCAGCTGCAGGGTTGGGGTGAAGGTCCATCGGCCTACCTCGCTTGTGGCATGACACGCGCTCGCACTGGTGCATTGCACCGTCACGGAATATGCATGTACGTGTGTACAGTGTGAGCGGTTGATCGATCAGTCTGCTTGCGATTTGACATGGATTGCTCGATCATGGTCTCATGTTACCTTCTGTAAGGGTGTTTGTTCACGCTGAAATTAAAAGTTTGGTTCAAATTGAAATAATGTGATGGAAAAGTTGAAAGTTTATGTATGTAGGAAAGTTTTGATGTGATGAAAAAGTTGAAAGTTTGAAGAAAATTTTAGAACTAAACTCGGCCATATATGAAAAATAGAATATTCCATGGGCCAAGAAATTGGAAAAGTGAGAAATTTCACTTCAAAAAACCACGAACCGCGCACGATTCCACATCGGCATGTCAGGGGATGTCTCCGCCGCTGCCCCGCGCCATGGCTGGTTGGCTACTGACCCAGAGCACAGTACAAAGAGGCAAAATTGGCTGTATAGACGTTCTTTGCTTGTTTGAGAATCTGCCCTGGTGCCGCTTCATTATAGTACCGGAGAACAATCATTTCTTCCTATATAGTTGATACCCACTAATAGGAATAATTGCTATAAAGCAGCCCTCACGTCGAGCCACGTCATCAAGATTGTGTCAGCCGCTAGATGAACATGCATCTCCGAGTACCAGCCGTTAGATCGATTTGCTCTCTGAAGCCCAAAAGTGCAGAATGTGAGCGGTGCCCCCCTAGGATACTTGACTGTTTGTAGAATTGTAGTCCAACAGTAAAGCAATAATTGAAAGCTGCTGCTTGAAACGCCATAGCCATTCATCTTCTTATAACTGCCGATGTGCTAATTTATTTTCATCTTCATTACATTTAAATGCATAAATGTATCACTGCATCATGTGATTTGCCGATTCATCAACTCCATTGGATGAGCAATTTTACGGTCCTTGAGGAGATACCATGAGGTACCACTTTTTCTATTATAAATTTGGTAAGTCTTGGTACCTAGATACTATGAGGTACCAAATTTTACACTATATTTTTGGTACCTCATGGTACCTCCTGAAAGACCGTAGAATTGCTCATGCTTCACGTTGTTATGGCAATGTCAAATAACAGTGGAAACCTTTATGTTTTTCTTTTTAATTCTTTTACTTTATTTTCTGTATGGAACTCCTGTAGCTGTTCATCTGTTCCAGTATACGTACTGCAGATTTCACAGTGCCGATGCGATTTGTTGGAACAAATGCGGGATCGTCTATGAACAACTCCAGCGATCAAGGGTAAATGCACATGCCTTATTGCTGCCATACATCATACCGACATGGCCCTAAAAATTTGTTGGCGCAATATCTCTCTCATTCCCTCGCTCGATCTGCATTTGCCATGGCATATCTCGATCTCTCTCTCTCTCTCTCTCTCTCTGTCTCTCTCTCTTAACCGAACTGACATATCTATCTCTTATTCTCTTACCATTGATTTCTGCAGAACAACACACAAGTGGCAAGTCCATGTTCTTTTACCAATAACATGGATATCTTGATCCTAACATAATTTTGTAATTCTATCATGTTCTAGGTAGAAATTGATCGGAGTGTGATTTAAGTTTGTTTATCACCATGTTTCTTATATATGCCAAAGTACATAAATAAATGTAACAACTTCTACTGTTGCTCTGTTTGCACTGTATCAAACTATCAACAGGATTGAGGGATCAGTTACTCTCGAATTTGACCATCACCATCTACTAATAAAAGGTGCATGCCAAAATCTCCATGGTATTTAGACTGCAGATCACAGAATATTGTCTATATAATTCTTCCGTTCACACATAATGTGATTAATGTGGATACGTTTTCTGAAAATTAGTTACCTGCTTCGTGTTTTCACAGTTACTTTTTAAGGCTATAGTTATAGTTATCAGAATATACAATTAGCAGCTGTATACCCACATTTTATCTTTGTTGTTAAAGATATCACATTCAGAACAGTCACATCTTACAGTCCTTACAGTCCTTTTAATCATGTAAATAGTGTCCTGCACGCTGGCCAGATTTCCTAAGTGGATCCCATGCTATTTGTGTAGGAGTAGGACCGTATTTGACCAATAATTTGGTGTCTAATTTTCTTCCTTTTCTCTGTTGTCGTAAAATATTGATATCAATGTAAGGGACACGTTCAATATATATGATGCTCTTTTGTTGTAGCCACAGTTTTTCAGTACACAAAGCTCTGAAATTATATGCTTCAATTAACACAATTATCCCGCAGCAACGCGCGGGGGTTGCAACTAGTTTTTGTGATGGTTATGCCACCGACCCACCACCACTATTTACATGTCTAAATTAGTTCTTATAATTTTTAATTTTATGTAATAGTTTAATATTCGTTGAATCAAATGAATAACACATATTCAAATAAGTACGTGCATTTACGTATATATACAAGTTCCTTCTCATACAAATTCATAATGGAAAATTGAAGTGTATTTCCAAGTGAATTCTGATGCTGTCATAAGTTAGGAGCATATCCATTGGGCGTGATGCACCCCCAAGGAGAATAGATTGCTGAGAGTTAGAACTAAAGCAAAAATAAAAAATAAATCCAGTTCTATGGCATAGTTAGTGCAGTTAAATCTCAAACAGCATAGTATAATGAACCAATACTATCGCCAAGAACATGCCAAATATTTCACCAACATCAAGATAATGCATAGCGACATTTAAACAGGTAAGCAGATTTGCGAATTCAAATAATAAGAAGGACCAAGTTCATAGCAAGATCCTAGATTTGGTTTTACTTCTTATAAAACACGCCATTCACGAATTCAGCACCATATGTGTAGTATTCATACGGCTAGTTAGCACACATATAGATGGCTTCATCGTCAACTAAATCCCAGCTATCATCCAAATCAATACTGTCATGGAAGGAAGCATCATCAATCTCTTCATCACCACTGAAAACTGAATTTGATTCTGCAGCAGATGACCAAGTACTCTTGAATGTTGCTGGTTTCTCTGAGCTGGCCAAGCTAGATGAAGGAAGCGGCAGCGACTCATCAGCATTAGCCCTTTGCTGGAACTGTGTAATGGTGTCTGAAGCAGATGACCAATTCTTGAAAGTTGCTGGTTTCTCTGAGCTGGCTAAGCTAGATGATTGCAGCATCTCATCAGCATCAGCCTTTTGTTGGAACTGCGCAATGCTGTCTGATGATTTCACTGAGCTAGATAAGATCAATGAAGGTAGTTGCAGTAACTCATCAACAGGTAAATGCACATCAAGTACTCCCAAAAGTTGAGCGATGTTATCTCCTGATTTGAGCGAACTGGATAAGCTTGATGAAGCTAGTTGCAACACCTCATCAACAGGAAGTAGCGGTTCATCAACTCTATATTGGGATTGTGCAGACATGACTGAGCTAGATAACCTTGGTAAAATCAGTTTCAGCTGCTCACACTCGTCAACAGGAAGCAGCGATTCATCAACAGAAATTTGTGGCTCATCAACTCTACAATGGGCTTGCGCAGTGCTATCTGTTGATTTGAATGAGCTGGACAATCTAGGTGAAGCTAGTTGCAATGAATCATCAACAGAATGCTGTGGGTCATCAACTCTGCACTGGAGCTGTGCAATGTTATCAGCTGAGTTGACTGAGGAGGACATGCTTGATAGCAGGGGTTCAGGAAGTTGCTTATCAACCCTGAGTTGAAGTTGTGAAATTTTATCGAAGATTCCCAGCATTTCCCCCCTAAAACATACAAGGTGGAGTATGAGATGTGCACGTCTAACAAAAAAAATGTATTAAACTTGCCATAAAACTTACTGCAATGCATCCACAATTTGGCCTCGGTCCATTAGTAACTCCCTCAGCTGCATCATATTATGCAAGTTAGTTGTTTGCTAAAACATGAATCCAAAATATTGCACTTGATATCCATCTTTCATGTACACAACTTGTCGTTACCTTTGCATTCTCCCGCACTTGCTGTTCCAGCATCTTGGATCTTTCCTTTGTAGCATCAAGTATGAGTTCTTGTTCATTCAACATTTTCTCAGCCAATGTTTCCCTTTCAACCTTCTTCTTCTCAGCTGCTACAGTCTCCACTTCAGCTTCAGCAAATCTGTTTTGAAGAGTATAGCGCATCTACATAACACACAAACAAGGTGTATTAAAATCTATATTAAAGAAGTTCAGCAAGATACTATAATTATCACCCACTTAGATAATCCAATGGTTCAAAAATAAGAACATTGATCCAGGACATGAAATGTCATTTTCTTCTCTTCTACTAGGTACATATTTTTCCTGATTTTCTGAACTGTTTCAGTTTCTTATGGAGTGCTCCTCATTCTACTTAATATATATACAGCCAAGATCTATTGTTTTTTAAAAAAATGTCTTAGGGTGAGAGGAGATGAATGGTAACAACTTTCTAAAAGCTGTTCTCTTTATAGAAACAATGCTTTCTGTTGGTTGATTTACCATTAATAAGAACATACTAAAACATTTACATTCCTACAAATCACAGGACGATTCGAATTTACCTCGTCAATAATTAAGGCACAGTTGTTCCTTTCTTCAGAAATGTTAGACAACCGAGCTTGAAGCCCATGTGCTTCTGATGCTAGAATAGATTGCTCAGCGAAAACCTCCCCTGCAACCTACATATTCCATTAAGCAGTCCTATTCAGTCCTATTGTTTCAGTTGGTAAGACAAAGAAAAGTATGAAAATAAAACTCCCAGTGTTATATGTACAACTTTGTTGTTCTCTTCTGTTGAGAGCATTGTCATCTCTTTTAACTCCTCCACCTTCACAAAAATATCATTGCCAGCTTGAGTTGCTTCCAACACAGCTTGTTTTGTTTTTTCTTCTTTTAACTTTATGTCCTCTAGCATTTGGTTTATCGCTGTTACGTTTGACATCAAAGTAACCTGCATCATAAATCAATTAATTAATAAGACAAATAGGTAAAGTAATTGGAAACGCAACATATTGTCACAATGCCAGTACTACTATTATTTGGATACTATTTTCACATGATATATGATAAATCGTGTTGCTTCGTAATGAAAAGAAGAAAGGAAATTGGTTTACCTTCTTGTCAATTTCATCAGCAATTGCATTGTCAAGCAACTCAAGTCTAACAGGGTAGCTTGACTGTATGTTCATAGCAGGTAATCCATCGTCATGGGTTACCAAATCATCATCAAAAGCTGAAGTTCCAGGTTTTGAATTCAGATCAATAGCAACCAAACAATCAGAATTTTCTTCCATAAGTCTATCCTCCTCCTCGTCATCTTCATCTTCCTCCTCATCATCTTCATCTTCCTCCTCCTCATCATCATCTTCATCTTCCTCCTCCTCTTCTTCCTCTTCTTCTTCCTCTTCCTCTTCCTCTTCCTCCTCCTCCTGCTCAGCTGTGTATTTGTTCGCTAAGTAAGACTGCACTGAATCTGCATCATTATCCACCGAAGCAGGCCCTAAAAAGTATTTATTATTAAACACATGTTATTGCTGGGAACCGATTTTATCAATAAAAAAAAGAGTATAAAAGGAAACAAGAAGGGGTGATATAACTATGAGTATTTAGCAGAAGGAAATTCAAAGATACTTAAGCTATGATCACTCCCACAAGCACATGCAGTAATTTACAATGACATGTTTACTCAAAAACATACTTTCAATGTATCAACAAGCAGGCAAACTAAAACACATGTTTTGACTTTTGAGAAGAGAAAAAACATAAATATAGTTAATATATAACACATAAAAAGTTATAGCACAAATTTTGCGATTAGTATGCGTATAAACAGGTGCCAGGGAGTACTAACTAGAAAAACTTCAAAATGCAAAATCAAAGTTTACTTTTCATATGAGCACCTTCGTTTGCATGTGCATCATTGTTGTCCGGGATACTTGGAAGGACATTATGGATAATATAATCCGCAGCACCATCTATATCATTCTTATATTCCATGCAAACTTCTACCAGTGTTAAGAAATTCAACTGCATAGATGAAAATAGGGTATTAGTTAGTAGGAAGAGTTTTGACTAAATGAAAGGCATATAGTTTCTAATTTCATACAAGTAAACTGTAAAAAACAATTGTAGATTTAATCCTGGTAGTACTTCTAATAACAGGCAAAGTGCACACGACACATCTCCAAACAGAGATTTTTTTTCCCCTAGAAATCTACAAATTGTCAGCAAAAAAAAAAGATAGATAGTACTACAATTGAATGCTTAAATTATTATTTATGATTATTCACACGAAAGCACACATGCAGCATGATAGTGTGAATCACATCCATGCATCTGAACAACCAAGCATACATCTTCTCTGTTTTAAAAGAGATGAGCTTTTTGCTGTGCAGAGAATACAATTAAGCGAAAGTGGTTGATAAACAAATCGCGCAGTGGTCCAAGGAGACAAAAAAATATAATTTTTTTAATGCGATAGGAAAACAAAGGTGGTGTTGTTTAGGGAAAAAAACAAAGTCAACCCGTATCTTCTTCGCTAAGAATATCGCATCACCTCAATCTAGGTTATTACTCTGTCAACACAGGCATTGCTGGATTGACGAATCCTTAAACTAACCGCACAAAACCAGCGATGCCACACCTGCGCACTGCCTTCTAGTCCTTGTTCTAAAACTTAAATTTGGCCTAGATTCAAACAAACAAAGTAGTGAAACGATCGTGATGTTTTTGCCTAACATTGAAGAAAACAAAAATCAAATAAAACGACCAAGTTAACAGCGTCCTTTTGGAACCACGAAGATCGATCGTGAAGGACGTCTAATCGAGGTGGGTAAGTTTGTTTCGAGCACCGAAAAACTCACCTGCGGGAACACCTCGAGGAGGGCGTCCAGGAGATCATCCCCCGTGCTCACCTTCCCCTCCCCCTGCAACCACAACAACAAGCCAGCGGCACGTCACGATCACCAATCACGCAGTGCAAAACCAAACCAAACCGAATCGCCCCCCAAGCCCAAGCACCATCGGAGAGAGAGAAAAATCAGAGCAGTAGCAACCTTGGCCGACGAAGACGAACCGGCGGTGCTGGACGAGGCGGCCGCGGAGGGCGGCTGCCTCCGGGAAGAAGACGACGACGACATCGATCGAGGAGCAGCAGCGGCGACCGGCGCGAGAAGGTCGAGACTCGAGAGGGTTTGGGAGGGTTTCGAAGGTCTTTTTTCTGGGGGGAACGAACGATCGATCGAACGAGTCGTACACCGTGCGCCGCGGGGGATTTTATCGGGGGCGATTTCGTTACGCCCGGGTTCGTTTCCAGCTCGCGCTTGGGAGCGCTCGCCGTGCCGGGTCCCGAGGGGACAGGTGACCTGGTTAAAGATAGGTGGAGGAGACGAATCGGCCGTTGGATCTGGTCAGGATTCGGGATCGGACGGCGGCTGGACAGGGTTTGGGTCTCTTCTCCGCCTGATGGAGCGGCGAGGATCGGGACTCTGTCACGTTTTTTTTTCTTTTCTTTTTTTGGCGGGGGACTCTTCTGCCAGCTTCTTGACTCTTTTACTACAATGGCATATCAGTATTACTGTACACACAACGTACTAGTAGTAATCTGCAATTTCCAGCTTTATTTCGTTTTTATTAAGACAAACACAACCAAAATTTGAACTGCAAAAGCAGAAACGACGATTCACACCGACAAAATTGCATACATAATACAGATTACAGAAACTATACGCTAAATACAAATTACAGTGCACAATTTACCTCTGAAGAAAAGCAATAGTCTTGGTCACGTCGATGCGGTCGGAAACGAATCCTGCACATAAGAATTCTTCGAACTGACGAATTTCACCTGGATTCCGTAGCCATCGATGACACGAAACAGCTCAACTCCCACGGCAATCCAAGGTAGCCTTACAACGCAGCAATGCCGGCGTGGAACCGGCGGCGGCGAGCGTCCGCCGCTGCGGCGGCCAGGGCGCTGAAGCTCTCGGTGACGTTGTCGCTGAGCACGGCGCCGTCCACGACGTCGATCGCCCGCTCGTACTCCCGCTCGTCGTCGCTGAACCGGTACGCCTGGGTCGTCGTCACCGACCCGTTGAGCACGTCGTGGTCCAGGAGCACCATCCACCCTTGCGCGGCCTGCGCGTCATCGAGCTTCTCCTTGCTCTCGAGGGCCTTCGTCTCGACCTCCGTCTCCACGCTGAGGCCGTGGGTGAGGCTCACCGTGACGACGGACGTGCCGTTCTCGCCGTCCTCGGTCTCCGCGAAGAGCGACAGCGGGTACTTGGCCTCCCTCTCCACCCTGCCGATCACCTTCCGCGTGTCGCCCGCCCGGATCAGCGTCTTCGTCTCCTGCTTCGCCTCCAGCGACACGGTCTTGTTCCGGCCGTCGCCGGTGAACTCCACCAGGCTGGTCGCCTTCAGCTCCGCCTCCACCTCCGTGGTGAAGTTGCCGAACGAGGACTTGACCCAGCCGCTGAAGGAGGACTTCCTCTTGGCCTTGATCTTGAACCTGCCCTCGAGCAGCCGCGTCGAGTAGTGGCGTGAGATTTTCAGGCGCGGCGTCTGGTACGCGCCGAGCGCGGCGTGCACGTCCGACGTGCTGGGGTCCAGCCAGAGGTGCAGGTTGGCGTCGACGAGCCACTCGGCGATGCCGTCGAACACGCTGAGGCCGATCTCGTGGGCGTTGCTGTCGACCAGGAGGCCGAGGAATGGGGTGAGCTCGACGTCGTAGGTGGGCAGGTCGAACGCGCCGAGCGCGGCCACCGGCTGCCAGAAGAGCGGGTTGATGCCGCCCGTGTAGATGACCGGGAACGGCACGAACGAGCCGACGAAGCGGTGGTCCACGCTGACGACGACCTCGCGGTACGCCGCGTTGCCCCTCCGCGTGGTGAGGTTGTTCTCCCTGATGTAGATGTCCGGCGGGTTGGAGTACCAGTACTCGTCGTTGGAGTGAGGGGACACGAACACCTCGAGCACCGCACGGTAGGTGCTCGACGGAATGGTTACGAGCCTGGAGTGCGAGTCCGACGCGTTCTGGATGCGGAACCAGAACCCGCCCTTGCCGTTGCCGGCGACATCCGAGATCGGGACGATGAGATCCGCCGGCTGGAAGTATGACTCCGGCAGCATAGGTTCCTTGGGATCGTTGCTTGCGACGCCAGCAGGGGAGGATGATGCCGCGTCGGAGAGGTACGGCGGAGTTCCATGGAACTCCAGCGAGACGTTGACGCTGTACACCCCGGTGTACTTGTCGTTGACGACGTTCTCGAGCATGACGGAGAGGACGCCGCCGGGCGGGGAGCGGAGGAGCGCGGAGTAGCGGGTGACATCCTTGCGGACGGTCCAGCGGACGCCCTCGGGGGTCGGCTCCGCGGTGGTGGTCCGGAGGAGCTCGGCGCCGTCGAGCCAGACGGCGGCGACGCGGTCGTACTGGTCGCCGGCGCAGGAGGCGGAGAAGGTGAGCACGACGAGGGACCAGGGCGCGGGGCACCCGGCGGGGGGCGCGTACGAGGCCTTGGCCGGCGCGGCGCCGTAGGTGTCGCCGAAGGAGTAGGAGAGGACCGGCACGGTGCAGGACGGCGCCGCCGGCGGGGGCGCGGGGAGCGGGAAGGTCGGGTCGAGGTACTCCTTGGCCGCCGCGCTGGCACCCGGGCCCTGCGGGGCGCGGAGGACGGCGTAGCGGTCAGGGACCTCGTCGGCGCAGGCGAGGAGCGGGAGGAGGAGGAGGAGATAGAGCGGCGGCGCCATCCTCTGCGGCCGCCGCGACGCGAGGTAGTTGGTGTTGGTCGCTGCTCCGGAGTAGTAGCGTGGGTTGCTACGATGGCGTTGGATTTGGGGATTTTGGAGCTTTTTTTTACTCTGCTCGAACTATTGTGTTCAGACCTCAGAACTTCAGGTTGCCGGCTGTTGATCGTGTCGTGTCACCTCTACCATACGTTCAGGCTTGTCTTCTTCTTACCTGACGCTCAGGACCTTTTGAATCAAAAGATCTTTTTTACGATTTTTTCTGCTTTGTACTCCCTCCGTCCCATAATATAAGAGATTTTAAGTTTTTCCTTACAACGTTTGACCACTCGTCTTATTCAAATTTTTTTTACAAATATAAAAAATGAAAAGTTATGCTTAAAATATTGTAGATAATAAAGTAAGTCATAAATAAAATAATTAATAATTTCAAAAAAAATTGAATAAGACGAGTGATCAAACGTTACAAGCAACAACTCAAAATCTCTTATATTATAGAACGGAGGGAGTAGGATCGTGGGTTTTTCTATTTGGTTATTTCTTTCATTCGTACGATTCAAATGAGCCCTTAACGGTTTGACGTCTTCCTTCTCGCCTGAGCAACGGCCGCCGGCCGGTATCTCAATCTCCAGTAAATAACAGGTGGAGCCGTGATTCACACCTGATTTTCCCCCTTTCTTGTGACATCTTGAAGTGCGCTTGCTTTAGCAAATTCATCGTCAGTTGATCAGTTCCCCATCAAGAGGATAGCAACAAACCGAATCAGCACGTGCAGCTGTAAACTAAACTAAACACTTCAGGAGAAATCCCTTTCCAGCGAGCATCAACCGTGCCAGGTCTGGTAATTCAGAGCCGCGACGAATGCGTCGTAATCCATGCGGTGTCGTCGGTGGCGTCTCGCACGACAAGCTGTGGCCATTGGCCAGCGCTCGCTCGCCGTTCGACGGGATGTGGATCAGAAGAGCGGGCCGGTTTGGCTAATTGGCTTCATTCGAGCCAGCGATCGATGTTATCAGATTTTGTTTGGCAAGGCAGAAGTTGCATTGAGATTCGTCACTAAGATATGATATGGGAGAGCTGTGTTTTAGCTGCTAACCAAAACTTTGTCATATATATTTTGGTTGTTGCATTAAGGGCCTTTTTGAATCACGTAAATAAAAAAATAAAGGAAAAGGAAAAACGTAAAATTCTAACATAAATACAAGTGTAAAACAGAAGATTGCAAAACACAGGAAAAACATAAGAACGACTATTTGAATAAGCCACAGAAAAAACACAGGAATTTGAGAAAAGATGAAAACTCAGAGGATTCTTTCCATAAGTTTCTACCACATGTTAAATTTCCTCGAAAACTTATATGGGAAGAGACATTCCATAGAATTTTCATAGATTTATTTCTTTGATTCAAAAGACTATATAGGAAAAATTTCTATATAAAAAAATCCTCTAAAATTCATATGAATTCCCTTTGACTCAAAAGGGGGCCTAAAATATGGGATAATAGTGTTTGAACATTATCCCTTGATCTGCTACTAATTAATAAGAACCAAAACTCTGGCATATCTTTGGTGGTTGCAGGAATTTTGGTAAGACGTCGATCTTGTTTGTGTTTTGATGGCAGATTTGTGATCTTCTGCTGGCCATGGACTGATGCACGATGGAAACGGGACCTGAAGGCGAAGGTTCCTTGGAGCTTTGTTCAGGCACTCCCCGGGGTTCGGGACCTTTGGGAGGGACCGGAGCCTTTGAAGCGGAGGCGGGGAGCTCCCCGTGCTAGGGACAAGCCGTGCGTGTGCCTCTTGCACTAGACAAGGGTTGGGTTTTGGAGTTCTTTACCTATGTGCCATTAAAAAAAGATGTAACTGTCTATGTGCCACTAAAATGTTTGAACCTTCATGTATATCACTGTTCTGTTTGGATTTAACCATTTGACAGCTCTGACATGTGGGCCCGGACAGAAAAAATGAGTATCTTCTTTCGAGTGCGCCAGAGAGAGAGAGAGGGGCGATTGAGTGCGGCGGCGCGGCGGCGGCCCGGCGCAGCAATACGGCCGTGCGCACGGGGGAAAGGCGGCCGTCACTTCCGCCCGTTTCATCGCCTTCTCACCTCGCATCTGCATTCAATCCCTGCAGGATTCCACCACGGCGTTCGACGACTGCCTCCGCCTCCTCCGCGGGGAGCGCGACGAGCAGAAGCTGGCGGGCCTTCGGGAGATCGAGGCGGTCGCCGGCCCGCGGTTCGACGCGGCGGTGAGCAGGGCGGTGCCGTCGTTGACGCGGAGGCGGGGGGACGACACAGGTGCCGTCGTAGTCCACGGCGAAGTCCTCCGGCGCTGGCTTGCCGTACACGCGTTGAGGCGGATGTACCATGCGGCGTTGGCGTCGTCGTCGTCGCTGCACATCAGAGGCTGCCAGCACATGGACTTTGTGAGCTACTCATACCAGACGAGCATGTGGCCGATGTCGTTGAGCTGGTCCTTCTTGATGGTGACGAGCTCCCAGCACATGGACTTGGTGAGCGCGGTCATGGCCTTCCAGATCTGGACGTCCTCGGTGAGCTTCTGGTACACGGGCGTGGCGGACCAGACGAAGAAGCCGCCGGGACGTAGGACGCGGTTGAGCTCGAGGAGGAGGGCGCCGTGTCGGTGAGCAGGGCAGTGCCGTCGTCGACGCGGCTGCGGGGAGACGACACAGGTGGACGGCGGGCGCGGGCGCGGCGGCGTGCCAGTGGCACACGTCGCTGGCGACCGAGCGGGCGATGGCGATGTTCGCGCTCGCCACGGAGTCGGCGCGGGCGGCAGCGGCGGAGGACAGGCGCGGCGCGGACGGGATCCGGCGCGCCGAGGGAAGCGGCGGGTGGCGCCGGCGCCGTGACGGGCATGTTGCCCGCGCGCGTTGCGGCGCTGGAGAGCCTGATGCTGGTGCAGGCGCTGGAGTGCTACTTCGAGCTCGCCGTCGCCGAAGGGAGGGCCTCCGGCGCTGTGCTTGATGGTGTCCCTTCATAGTCTAAGGGCAACTAAGTCATTTGGCTGTGCCGTTACCCACCGTTAGAACCAAAAGCGGACGGAATGGTGTGAAGGGCGCGATTAAGTTCGACGATGACATAAAGGGAGGCTCGAATTTTTTAATAGCACAGAGACGGGCATCATCTTTTTTTTTATGGCATTCAGGAAAAACCTCTATATTTTTTGGGCCGCACGGAGAGAGGCACGTGTGGGTACGGCATCCACGGAGAGAGAACGTTGTGACTTGTGACTTCGCGAGCTGTGACGATTTTGTCTTGCCAACCCATGTGTTCTCTTCAATGTTTACTTCTGAGAGATCTGGAGATGGATGGATTTGTTTTCACTATCAGGCCTCCTTTGATTTGATTGATGAAATTCGTATAGGGTTTGGATATGCATGTTTTGTAAGAAAATAGAACTCCCTCCAGGTTGATAATATTTATCGTTTTGAACAAGAACACGGTCTTCAAAAAAACAACTTTAACCATTATATTCTATTATAATATGTATAAAACTGTTAACAAATATATAATTTTATTAAAGTATTTTTTAAGACTATTCTATATATATGTAGTCACTATATTTGAAAGACAAATATTTTAAAAATGATCCATAATCAAAGATTTTAAAGTTTGACCTCACCATTGTCTAAAACAACAAGTATTATCAGCCGGGAAGAGTACATAAATTTGATGGATTTAAGAGAGAAGTGAGGCTAGAAGAGAGGACTCCTTGAAGGTTTGAGTCATTTCTTAAGGGCTTTGTGTGTGTTTGTTTTCAGGTAATTTAAAAGCAAAATGTTGGAAAATAATCTACAATGAAAATATGTTAGTAAGAAAGAGAAAAAGCTGGTAGCCTAGACTAAGACAAAGGAAAACCCCTTTGTCTCTAGGTTCACTTTAGATCCCTCATTGATGTCGAGTCTGAATTACGTTCATAAACCACAATATTAGATATAATATATCTCTCAACTTGGAATTCAGGAATACTTAAGGTCCCAAGAAAGTATTGTGCCTAGTTTCGACTGACATGGCAAGTTGATTTACCCATGTAGGGCCCACATGACAGGGGTTACCTTCTTCTTCCTCCTTCCCTCTCTCCTCTCTTACCCATCTCCAACTCTCCCCTCTCTCCTGGTGCTCTCTAGGGTGGCCGTCAGCAGGGCCAAGGGATGGCGCTATGTGGATCTAGAGGTGGAGGCCAAGACGACTATGACCTCATCGGTAGGAGGACCACATGTCCGTAGGACCAGTGGTGAAGAGGAAGGAGGGGTAGGATATGACAATGCTAGTGGTGTTGTTGACTAGCACAGGACGATCGAGGAGCTGGGACAAGAAGAGAGAGAAGCCACCACTCAATGAATCGGTAGATCACACACTTGGAGATAGGGACCTGCTTGATATTTTTTCAAAAGTAGACAAGTGTGGGAAGAGTGAAATCTCGAGACAACGGTAAACGTAAAAATTGGGATTCTCTAAGGCCTCTACTAAAGAAGTTTGCTAGCAATGGACATACCGAACACCTACCTTTCAAGGTGGTCTCGGGCATCATTAGGCAACTTCGACAGGTTGCTAGGCAAAGCGGATGCTGTGGAAGATCCACGTGGTCACACCAAAGTCACTCCGTAGGTCGATTTTGGCGGGCGACGGTCTCCAGGGTGGCGGAAAAGGAGCAAGAAGGTGGCGACATCATCTCCATCCGAACGGCGGTGATGCTGTCAACGAGCTTGAATAGTTGCCTCGTCTCCTCTTTCTCCTCTCTTCCGAGCAGCACGGGCGGCGGTGGTGGAGTTCAAGGCTTTGGTGGCATGACACTTGACGAGGGAGAGCACATCCTGGTCCAAGGACTTTGCGTGGAGCTTGATCTCACGTGAGGTGGGTCGCCCACCGGCTGTACCGACTAGCACTCACCTCTCTATCACAAGCCCTACATACGGGTGCTCCCGCCAATAAGGTCGTAGCCGTCTCAGCCTCCACCTCTAGATCCTCTTATGTTGGACGGTGCCTTGGCCTTACTAGGCGTCACCTTGCAGAGAACCAGGAGAGGGGAGAGAGGAGAGAGGAGAGAAGGGAGAAGGGAGAAGTGGAGACTTGGGGTAGATAGGAAAGAAGGGAGGAGAAAGAAGGTAGCTCTTATTTTGTAAGCCTCACACTAACTCAGTCGGGTCGAACACAATCAACTCTCCATGTCAACCAAGACCAGATATAATGCTACCATAGAACCTCAGTTACTCCATTATTGCAAATTGAGGGACGCATTATATCTAGTATTGTAATTTCATGGCATGACTTAATCTGGATGACAAGTTGAGGGACTCAAAATGAACTTATTCTTCCACATATGACAAAAGGAATAAGTTCACCGGAGGTCCCTCAACTTAACAACGAGATTTTTTGAGGTCCCTCAACTACAATACCAGAAATATTCACCCCTAAACTCACTAAAACCGTTTACCGGAGGTCCCTCGGCAGTATTTTTGCCCGATTTTACTGACGTGGCATCCTAGTCAACAAAAAAATTAAAAAAAAATACGTAGGACCCACATGTCAGCTGCACATTTTTTTTCTTCTCTTTTCTTCTCCTCATCTCTTTTCTTTTCTCTCCTCTCTTTTCCTTCAGGCCGGCGGCGGGCGCAGCCGCGATGGCCGAGGGCGGATGCGGACGGCGGGCGAGCGCGGCGGCAGGCGAAGCGGCGGCGTCAGCGGGCGAGCGCGGCTGCGGCGGCTGCGGCGAGCTCGTGGCGGACGAAGCAGGCAGGGGCGTGTCGGGTGCGTCCGGGCGGTGGCCATGTGCGACAGCGCGACGACGGTGGTGACCATGCGGGGCGTAGGCGGCGCGTGGGCGCGGCTCGGCCGATGGTGTGCGGCGGGACAGCTTGCACGAGCGAAGCAGACGGGAGATGGGGAGCGCGACGGGCGAAGCAAGCAGGGGCAGCGGGCGAGCGCTCGGCGCTCGGCGGACGAAGCAAGCAGGGGCGGAGGGCAAACGCACGGCGGGCGAAGCAGGCAGGGGCGGCGGGGCGACGAGGCAGCACCGGGCTCAGGGTGCTCGCCGGTGTCATCCCCCTGCTGCCCTAGTGACTTCTCGTCGACATTGTCGTGGTCGTCGTGGGAGAGCCGGAGAGGGGAGAGCATGCCGGCCGCACTCCTCCATCATCCGGCCCCATGTCGTCGTCGTCGCGGGAGAGGGGAGAGGATGCCGGCCACGCCGACGGGAGATGGGGAGAGAGGCGGTTGGCGCAATGACATCGCCGGTGGCGAGAGGCGGATGGGATGACGCGGGAGTTGGTGGACACGCACGGCCGACGCTCACGCCGCTCCACGAAGCGGAGCAGGTCGACGCGATTCTCCTCGCGAAGCGGAGCAGGGGGCGGCCGCCGCCGGAGTTGGGCGACCGGCGGAGGCGACGGAGCAGCGGCGGGGCCATGCGCGGGCGTGTTGAGACGGCAGGGCCGGCGGAGGCAGTGGGCGCGGCGAAGGCGGCGGGGCCCCGTGCGGAGGGCGCGGCCACGCTGCAGGGGCTCGCGACGACTGTGGGCCGACGACGCGCGATGGTCATGCTGCCGCGGGCCCGCACGGGAGCGGTGTCATGTGCTCCGCCGGGTGCGAGAAGCATGGCGCAACTCACGCATGCATGCTGCTGTTGCTGTCGTGATCAGTACCATGCACTCGAACGGTGCTACGCACATGCATGAGGCCGATTGCTGTCGTTCTTCATGCTGAGATAGCCGAGCAACGCGTCGCATGAACGAGCCCACTTCGCTCGACCGAAACCCGGCGCGGTGGCGGCGTCTCGAGACCAGCGCCGGAGATGGCGGAGTCCGCGGGAGCGGAGGCTGCGCGCGGCCCGGCGGAGACGGACTTGCCCGAGGCGAGCAGAGGAGCCGGCCAGCGCGTGCATGCTTGCTGCGATGCTGCGGCGGCAAAGTACCCGCGATGCTCCAGCACGGGGCCGCGAGCTCGCCGCGATGGGCATGGTCTTGCTGTCCGGCGCCAGCCGGAGGCAGCCATGCGGCCGCGGAAGGGGTGGAACCGCTGCCCCTGCTTGCTTCGCCCGTCGCGGCGTCGCGCTCCCCATCTCCCGTCTGCTTTGCTCGTGCGCGCTGTCCCGCCGCACATCATCGGCCGAGCCGTGCCCGCGCGCCGCCTACGCCCCGCATGGCCACCACCGTCGTCGCGCCACCGCCCGGACGCACCCGACACGCCGCTGCCTGCTTCGTCTGCCGCGAGCTCACCGCCGCCGCCGCAGCCGCGCTCGCCCGCTGACGCCGCCGCTTCGCCTGCCCCCGCGCTCGCCCGCCGCCCGCATCCGCGCTCGGCCATCGCTGCTGCGCCCGCTGCCGACCTGAAGGAAAAGAGAGGAGAGAAAAGAAAAGAGAAGAGGAGAAGAAAAGAGGAGAAAAAAAAATATGCAGCTGACATGTGAGTCCCATGTACTTTTTTAATTTTTTTTTGCTAATAAGGATGTCACATCAGCAAAACCGGGTAAAAATACTGCCGAGAGACCTCCGGTGAACGGTTTTAGTGAGTTTAGGGGTGAATATTTTTGGTATTGTGGTTGAGAGACCTCAAAAAATCTCGCTGGTAAGTTGAGGGACCTCCAGTGAACTTATTCCTATGACAAAATGACAACGAATGCACGTTTGTCCTGCTTTCCTTTCCTGTTGCTTCCATAAAGATCAGTGGGCCTGCTTGCTTTTCATGGCCCATGTATTGAATACGGTCACTCCTGACAGCTTATTTTCGAGGGCCTTTTGCAAATAGATAAATACCATGTGTTTCATTTTACATTGTTACACATTTTTTTTAAACACACGACCGACATATCTTCATAATTACCAAGTCATCATGCGACAATACTAGATGAGACGTTTTCTAAAACAACGGATCTCTTATTCAGATTCGTGTTTCGCATGCACGCTTTTCAAACTACTAAACGATATGATTTTTTCAAAATGTTTCTATACGAAAGGTGTTTAAATAAATCATATTAATCTATTTAATTTAAAAATTAGCTAACACTTAATTAATCACGCGATACTACATCGTCTTTTTTTTTTCCATACGCAGGTGATTTGACAGCCTATTGCTTTTGCCGGTAACCTAACATCAAAGAAATTTCCTCAGCTGATCTATCTGAGCTTGTACTGTTACCTAAAATTCATTAAAGAAAACAAGCACATCAAACTTATAGCCATATTAAAGCCCACTTTTTCCGAAGTCCAATATAGCAGCTGCAGCCTACAGGCACGAACACGTCAGCAGTCCACGCCTCCACCACGGGTCCAAGCGTCCAAAACCGCCAAAAGACGTGTTCGGTCCGGCACATCGGGGGGGATCCGACCCCGCCAGGTGGCCCACCCTCCCTCCACGTGTCGCGCCTCCGACCGTCCGATCAGCTGCCAACCCCGGGCTTCCCCGCGGACGGCATCCGACGGCCACCGTTTCCGTTCCGCACGCCCCGTGCTGCTTTTGCTCTTGGCGATTTGCGGAAGTTGTTGTTGTCCCCTTGCTCCTCGCTCCGCTTCCATCCATATTCCACCGCATCGCGCGCGGGGTTAGGGAGGGGCCTGGTGGTGGTCGGGGCTCTGACGCGGCGGGGCGGCGGAGGTGGTGGTGGGGAGGGCGAGAGATGGCTGCGGCGGTGGGGAGGGCGCGGGGGGCGGCGAGCCTGGCGGCGGCGGTGAGGGTGGCGGCGGCGACGGCGAGGCCGGCGTCGAGCGTCGCCGCGGCGGCCGGGCTGGGGTTCGCGGGGCTGGTCGTGCAGGGGGAGGACACGCCGTTCGGGTCGGTGTGGTGGTGGGCGTACGCGGGGATATCCTGCTTCCTGGTGCTCTTCGCCGGGATCATGTCGGGGCTCACCCTCGGCCTCATGTCGCTCGGCCTCGTCGAGCTGGAGATCCTCCAGCGCAGCGGCACCGATGCCGAGAAGGCCCAGGCTGGTATGATCCGGAACCCTAGCCGCGTTCTTCTCTCCTCCCCCGTGTCGTGATCGATCTGGTTGCGGTTTGAGGAGCCATTTCTAGGAGGGTCTTATGTTGGAACAGCCCACTTGTGCTCGATCTGATCGCAATTTTGCGGGCGATTCTTATGGGGTGTTGAGTTGGGATAGCAGGTGCTATGTTACGTCACATTGGGGATTCACGATATCTGTAACACGCCATGATTAGTTTCTGCTATTTTGGAATGAGGATCTATTGCTGTTATTTTGCTAAGGATTTGCTGACTCTGATCGTGCCGGTCATACTCTAGATCCTCTGTTTGTTGTACCAGTTGTATTTATTTTCTATTTTAAGTTAACAGAAGCGAATATACATCAATAATGCTGATAATCAGAAAAAGTAGAACACACAAAAGGGTAGTAAGGTTCCTCTGCCAAAAAGGTAGTAAGGTGATAAGAAAAGGAGACGTTGGTGGGAGTTGGCTTTATTCAAGATTCACCTCTTTCTGGGGGAGATATAAAATGATCCTTTGGTCAGTGAGAATTGGAACTATGCAACGGATAGGCATAGAGATGTACGCGCTAGAAGTTCCTGGGCCTGCCATGTTGCTTGTGGGTAGCGTGCAGCTGAGCCTTTTCACACATAAGATATGATCCATAGTTTTTTGGTGCTTTTGTTTGTACTACTAATTTTCTGTGAAATGATCTAGTTCTGTCTGAAATGCAATATGGGCATTTTAGATGTTCACCATTTGATCTAATGTATATGCTAAAATTGATAACTTGATATGGTAGTAGTGATGGTGCTTGTGTAGTATTATTACAGGCACTTTCAGCACCTCAATAACTCGTTTTCACTTTTTAGCAGATGCTACTGTTGCTACTGTATTTTCATGGATAGTTCTGTTGTTGATCGTTTGGCTACTTGTATGTCATCTTTTTGTAGCTGCCATCCTCCCAGTTGTTCAAAAGCAGCACCAGCTTCTTGTCACCCTGCTCTTGTGTAATGCTTGTGCCATGGAGGTATGTAACTCTGGTTGCATTTCTTTTTTATCATTTACCACACTATTTTGTACTGCGAACATGCAAATATAAAGGGTATTAGCAGATGGGCATATTTGATAGTATGTTATTGTTTTGACACATTTTAACTCATAGCTTGTTTGGAGAGAAGAATGCTATATGCTGAAGTTGCCTCTATTGGTTCAGTTTTGTCTGTACTGCGGCATGATTTCCTTTGTTAGCATCTGTGGAAATCCACAAACGATTTTACTTGAATTGTAATATCTAATTTGGAAGAGTCTAGTGTCTTTAATTCTTTGTTAGGTCCCTGAATGTAAGGTCATCTACACTTGATGATTAATGCTACTGGCCTACTGCTACAAGTCTATTTGTCATTGTAATGTGCATTAATATATCTGAGCATGTACCATAAAATCCAACAAAGTGGCTATATTGAAGTTTATATATCAATATTATATACCTTATTTAAATATCTAGTTCCCTTTAATATTTGAAGTTCTATTAGGTTTTGCTTGTTAACTCGTTATGTCCATAAAAAAAAATATGTTCAATCTGCTCACCTACTCATTAAATTTGCTAATAATATAACGCATTTGGAAAATTGGAATTGATTTCACACATTAGAAGTTCTGGTATATGATTAGGCTCCTATAAAGTATAAAGTACGAATGTACGGCATAAGTGGACTGCTAAGTGCTATAACATTTTCTAGGATCCTGAGTTCTTAACATGTTCTCTAGATATATTATTTTCTGCTATGCACAAAGGATGCCCGAGACAAATATTTGTAAACTTCTCTTTGCACATAGTATGGTATATTAGCTTATTTTACATGGATATGTTTTACCTTCCCCCAACCATGGACTTCCTTTCAGAATTTTATCAGTAGATACACCATGCATTCTATTCATATACCTTTTACATTGTTTTGTTTAGCCAGTGACTCTTCCAATTTGTTTCTTTGGATCGTTTGCAGGCTCTTCCTATATTCCTTGACAGGATTTTTCATCCTGTTGTTGCTGTTATCTTATCAGTAACGTTTGTTCTTGCTTTTGGAGAGGTATTATATATTATGTCCAAACTCTATAGTTTCTCTATGGTCTTGCAGACTGTCTGATTGATTATTTAATTTTTAACGCCAGGTTATACCACAAGCAATCTGTACTAGGTATGGATTGGCTGTGGGTGCTAACTTTGTATGGCTTGTACGCATCCTCATGATCATCTGCTATCCTATTTCTTATCCCATAGGGAAGGTAAGTCCGCAAAATTAAATTGACTTAGTTCAAGTGTCCCTACTATAATGAAGTCTTTTGGAGCTTCTCTAATGGCAGGGACTTTTAATTGTCAATTTGTCATGAATTAGATATTGTAACAGTTGTGCTTCCGAGTCATCTCTTCATTCAGTTTTGGTACCATAGTTGATGAACCCTATTACAAAGTGAAAACAATATGCCTTCACAAAATGACCTGTGTATATGTCTTTCGATTTGAGAATTTGTTATCAGCTTATACTATATTAGGTTAATCAATGCCCTTAGCTTGTAGTGCTATGGAAGCTTCTATTACTAAAACACCATGCAGCATGCAAGCTCATGTGATTACAAATTTGTGTTTCATGCATTATGCTATAATGCAGTGCATATGTTTAAATGCACGCTTAACTTGGTGTACAAACAGTGTATTTTCTTTCAGATTTTAATATGTTGTCTTAGGTTTAATGAAAACAGACTTGATTTTTGTACTATAGAATAACATGTATATTTTATTTTGTTTTGAAATATTTTTTGTTTAAGTCTTCCAAATTTACTTGATATGATTTAAGGACTAGTTACTAAAAGTGATTGAAATATATATTGTCCATCTGTCGCAGCTCCTAGATTGTGCTCTTGGGCATAATGAATCTGCACTTTTTAGGCGAGCTCAACTTAAAGCTCTTGTCTCTATCCATAGCAAAGAGGTAACATGACCTTACTATGTAACTTATTAATAAGTTAACATCTTCTTTGAAGGTTATATCACAGTTCAATGCTTTTCTGCCATTGCAGGCTGGCAAGGGTGGAGAGCTTACCCATGATGAGACTACAATCATAAGTGGAGCCTTGGACTTGACTGAGAAGGTGCGCGTCATTTTAAAATTTGACTTCTAATTTATAATGAATAATAGAATCTGGAGAATCGTTGGCAATCAAAATTTAAGTGAACTTGTTACAAAGTTAGATGTTGTTTGACTTGTTTTCTAGATATGACTTGTTTTCTATCTTTTGGTTTTAGGGGATTGAAACATTAGACTCCCTATTGTCTTTTATGTATTAATTTGTATTAATATTTAACTATGAGATAGCTTCTAGAGTGATTTTGATGTATATGATACTGATATATTTAATGGCTTCATGCTTTATGGTTGTCTTCCTATTTTTGTTTAGTATTTAACAGCTTTCAGCTTCACATCAGAAATGACTTAATCCATGCTGCAAATATTATATGACAAATGCCTACATTTGTTCTTGTGTGTTGAATCTCTTTTTGACTCTTTATTGAGCAAAAGAAGTCTGTTTCTTACTTTACAAACATAGTGCTCACAGACTAGCACTTTGATATGAACAATCATTTTTTGTTGTCTTCAGCAGAAATTTCATTGTTATTTGTGTGCAGACTGCTGAGGAGGCTATGACACCTATTGAGTCAACTTTCTCATTAGATGTGGACTCCAAGTTGGATTGGTAACTATAAAAAAAAATACAATCACACTTTAGACACCGTAGCTCTTGGTCATGTTCCATATTTATTATCGATCCTATTCACTGCAAAAGTTCTTGTTGATTCTATGTTTGTCTTATGTCTTTCTTTCTTATTAGTTGAACTCATTCGTCAAACGTAAACAATCTTCTGTCTTAGTTATGTATTTGTGGAACTAAGTTCAGACAATGTAATCTTTTGTGTTTTACCTACATAGTAGTTATTAAACATTAGCAAATAGTACGCAAATTTCCCCCCCTTTTTTTTTTGATAAGGCTCAATGCTCTGCCAATCTTCTTATGTACTTTTATTTACAGGGAAGCAATCGGCAAAATCCTTGCTCGGGGTCATAGCCGTGTGCCTGTATACTCTGGAAACCCTAGGAACATTATTGGTCTCCTGCTGGTTGGTGTCGAATTGTCAATGCTGTCATGGAGTATTTAATAACCCAGTGACTTGTTTGTATGATTCACCATGTCTTATTTTGAATTTTTACAGGTGAAAAGTCTTCTGACAGTTCGTGCTGAAACAGAGACACCAGTTAGTGCTGTTTCCATTAGAAGGATTCCAAGGTCGTGGCACAAATCTATTAAATTATACATTAGAATGTCTTCTCAACATGGGATAAAATGTTCATAGTTGAAGTATCTTTTTTGCTGTATTAATACTTGCAATCTCCGTAATTTCTGACGAATAATCAGTCAATGACTTTATTTACCTTCTCCAGGGTTCCTGCAGATATGCCTTTATATGACATACTGAATGAGTTTCAGAAAGGAAGTAGTCATATGGCTGCTGTTGTGAAGGCTAAGCCCAAAATTGTACCACTCCCTGACAAAACTGAACCAAACAGGGAAGTAAGTGGGGCACCACAGCTGACTGCTCCCTTACTATCCAATAATGAAGAAAGGGTGGAAAGTTTGGTTGTTGATATTGAAAAACCACAGAGCAGGCAGGTTAATGGAAACAAACCCTGTTCCATGCAGCAGAATGAGATGCCATATGCAATGTCTCGGTCATCAGAGGATATAGACGATGGTGAGGTCATTGGTATCATCACACTTGAAGATGTATTTGAAGAACTATTGCAGGTAAGCTTAAGCATGCTAAATTTTCTGTCTTTAATAGAACTAAATCCTATCACAATTGCTTATGCTGTTTTTCTTTTTGTTCTTTATCAAAAAGATCCTAGCCTTGGCATTAAAGATGCATTTTGGGATATAGTTGGAATCATTTATACAGTTCACAATTATGATTGGATCTTCTGTATCTCGTATGTTTACGTTTTATTTTACAGGAGGAGATAGTGGATGAAACTGATGAGTATGTTGATGTTCATAAGAGGTATGTCTCATCGTTGCACTTTCTCCCCTCATTTTGCAGTGTTTGAGAGTATACTATGTGCGAGTAAATTTTCTCTATTACAGGATCCGAGTGGCCGCCGCCGCCGCTGCATCTTCGGTTGCCAGGGCTCCATCAATTCGGAGATTAACGGGTCAAAAGGGCACAGTAAGTGCTATTTTTTGCTACAGTTTTATAGTCATATTGGTCACCATGATGGTATAATAACACAAGTTACATTGATACATGAATAATATTGTTGCATAAATTTTTCACTAGGCACTGAGAATATTGGAGTATGAGATATATCTTTAATGTTGATCTTTAGGAATGATCATATAAGCTTTCTGGACAGGGAGGGTAGGTACTGCTAAAAATCTTATTACGTGGATTGAGCTGATGTACCTGACTTCAAAACTGTACAATCACCTCAATCATACTGGGGATTGAAATCTGTTCATGTTCATGTCAAAAAAAAAAAAATCTGTTCACGTCAAGATTTACCTCGTTTCTGTTAGTTCAGGCTCTGGCATGGTCAGTGGCGGATCCAGGAATACTTTTGAGCCTGGGCAAGTCTAACAGCGAAAAACAAATATACATAAATCAATTCAAATATGTATACCTTTTATCATATACGTATGTAAAATTGACGGTCATTGAGTTCTAATTTAGGAGAGGAAATCCAGTGTATGAGAATATATCAATGAGATGATGGTTATATAGGTTAGACTATGGAGTTTGTACTATCTTATTGAAAAGAAAAAAGACTAATACCAGAAAGTTATATAATTTTGCCTTTAGATCACAGTTGTGATGGTGTGAAATTGAATTAATTATCTGAAAGTAATAGGCATTTAGTTAAGCATGGTAATCAACAAGAAGATTCACGTGTAGGAGGGCATTACCTATAAATTGTATGCTGATTAGCTGGTGACTAAACACTGTAACTAAGTGCTGATAAACTGCTGCATAGTGGCGGAGCCCGGGCACTTGCCCGCGCTGGCCGGGCCCTAGCTCCGCCACTGGGCATGGTTGAAGTTGGATTAACTTGGTGTTTGTTTTTCCACTTGGAAATTGATCACAAAACTTTGTAGGGAAATTTGTTTTAATTGATTTTTCAGCAACAATAAGCTCAGATATTTTAATTTGAATTAGGTGGTTCCAATTTTAGACATAGGGCTCTTAGATAAGCTGTGGGAATTGCTTGAAGATCTGCACAAGTGATAAAATATTTGCTGAGATCATTTTCTTTTATTTCTTGCTATATCATTATGCATGTTTGTTTTCTGGTTACACTGATTGTCTGATTTGTGGAATATGGTGTCTTTGGTTGTATAATATAAAAGATATGAAACTGTGCAGTTACGAACGATATGCTTACAATTTTAAACATGTTAACAAGATGGACTTGCAAAAATTTCTTGAACCATCGTCCCTAACTGCTACTAGCTTAGTACATATTTATATTCATGTCTGAAGATACTGCATTTGGTCCTAACTGTATAAACGGTTTTAAATCAAATAACCTTGACCCATTTTTTTTTCTTTATGGTCTATAAACTGTTTTGAGTTTCCACATATTTGTGATGGAAGTCCTACTTATTGATGACGTTACTTTTTGCCTCTTCAGGGTACGCAGAATAGGCAAGGACAGCCAACTGGAATTTTGAAGAAACCTACTGAAGGTGATTCCAATCCATCAAAACATCAGGTGAACCTTGTTGAACCTCTTTTGGAAAATAAGAGGTAACTTTAGATGTATGCATGAATATAGCGATGGAACGCAAAATCAAATTCAGAAGGCTTGGCTAACAGTAAATATGAGCGAACTCGTAAATTCGGATTTGTTGTCATGGTCTCATGGACCTTAGCGTTGAATTTTGTGTTTATGGATGATGAAAGTAGATAACAATTCCGGAATCTTTTGATACATGACAGTAGCAACGAATAGTACTCTTGGAATCTGAAACGTTGACCTGGAGGACTGGAACGGTAGTGGATATGGTTACATTAGGAATAAGTACATTTCAAAGGCTAATTGTTCATGCGAAATATATATTCCAGATGAGACTGCAGCACAGGTGAACACAATCGGCTGACTGTTTCAATTCTGAGAAACCTGGTTCATCCCTGGAAATTTTGGAACCATTTACCAGTTACCACGATTCCATCAATTCCAGTTGCCTGGCTTCATGAATTTACCAGTTATACTCTTCACCTAGTTTTTTTTATTCCCATGGAATAGCTAGCGTATCTATCTCGTACAATGCACAATACTGCTAGTACTACTACAACAAAAAGAAAAATCATGAGCCGCGTGGAGGGCTTGGCTGCCAAGTAACCTTCAGCTAGAACGAGCTTGCCTGCCAAGAAACCTTCGATAGAACGCGTGCTAGACCTCCGCCCTGCGACTTCTATATATATCGACACGATCGAATTCCTTCCGTCCCCCATACAGCCAGAAACAGAAACGACCATCCAGCACAATGAATTGACGAAAGTGAAGCCCGCCCGGCAGGTCCAAGATCTGAGCAACATGTAGCACCGTTTGATTCCCCCCACAAAAAACTAACCCTTCCCCATTAGTTATAGTTAGTTCGACCCCGTCCGATCCGGCCGGCCGGCGGCGATGGCGCCCGTGGCGACGTGGTGCTGGTGCAGCCACTGCGGCGTGGACCGTCGCCTGAGGAGGGAGGGCGACTACGCCTCCTGCAGCTCCTGCGGCAAGGTCCTCCTGCAGCTCCGGGGTGACGACGACGCCGCCGCCGCCGAGGCCCCTCGCCTTCGCCTGCTCCTGGGGCCGAGGATGCGGAGGACCAAAAAGCGCGCGGCGGCGGCTGATGCTGCAGGCGGCGGTGGAGTTGCCGCCGGCGGCGGCGGCGGCGAGAAGTACTCCAGGCGCGAAGCGTCGTCTGACGCCGAGTCCAACACTGGATGATCTATGACGGCGTATGTAATAATTGACTATTGATCAGTAGCGTGGATCTTTTTCTATCTGTGGGGATTTGCCTTTCACTGAAATAAAAGAAGTTCGTGTTGATTCCCTTATGGCACAAATACTGCATTATATTAATTAGTGCTTCTCTGTTCTTCCATCGAATCATACAATTCATTCATAAAGGTATCAACTTTTATATGTTTAGATTGACATTAACAAATTTGGTATGTACAGATTGACAGTAACAAATTTGATTAGATTTCTGTACGAGAAGGCTGCACATGCGACGCACACTTCTTTTCAAGGATTTTAGTCAAACATGTGACTTTAGGATATGCTTATAAATTTGGTGCGACATAAATAAATCCCCCAACTAACTTTTTTGGCCACTGTATGTTAAACAAAAGAAGTCTTAGCTGTCCTTTTGGTTAAGTCGTAGGAGTGTTGGTCCTACTACTTTCAGGTTTTCAGGCCAAACAAATTATGTTTCAGGTTTAGCCTTTTACCTTTTGGGCTAGTCCGAATCCAAGTGACATGCTGTTAGATAAGGGGGTGTTTGGTAACTTCCCTCTCACAAAATTATAAGTCTCTATGGTAGGGACTAATATTTTTGTGAGAGGGACTAAAGTTTAGCTCCACTTTAGTCCCTCCAACCAAACACCATCTAAAACATGGGCTTTAAGGGCTAAAGTTTCTATACTGATTTTTCTATGTATAAAGTTTCTATGCATGCATTGAGTTTCACGTATAAAGGTATAAAATTGTTCTGGCCTAACATATTGCTCACTGGGGCAAAAGGGTGAGCACGTAAGTTTCCAATTTGGGCTAGGTCCGAGTCCAAAAGAGAAAAGGGATTCTCGTGGGATGATTTCCAGTTTCGTTATCCCGCACGTCTACATGTGGGCCAAATTCCGTTTGCGCGCACTGCGCACGGGGTGTGGCTAATGCGTGATCACCCGCACGCCCCCCTCCTCCTATACGCTCTCTCCCCATTCCTCCTCCCATCCTTCTATTTCTACTACATTACACCATAAAATTTAAAAAAAATTGAAAAAAAATTATGTATAGAAATACTATATATATAAAAAATATTTGAATTCAAATTCAAATTTGAAACGGGTATGTAAACTTTTGACTTATAAACTTTGGGTCTATAAACTAATATTTGAATTCAAATTCAAATTTGAACGGGTATGTAAACTTTTGACTTATAAACTTTAGGTCTATAAACTAATATTTGAATTCAAATTAAAATTTGAAACGGGTATGTAAACTTTTGACTTATAAACTTTCGGTATATAACCTTTAGATGTATAGAAATACTATATATAAAAAATATTTGAATTCAAATTCAAATTTGAATCGGATATATAAAATTTTGACCTATAAACTTTGGGTGTCTAAACTTTATATGTGTAAACTTGAGATGTGTAAAAACTTTAGGTGTATAAATTTACTAAAATAGGAAAGTAATACGGTGCCAAAAAAAGAAACTACGTGGAGGGAGAGGAGGGGGGACCGGCTGAAGCGATCGCTAGGGGCGATCGATCGCCCCTTAGCCTTTCCGCTGCGCACGCGCATTAGACCCGCCCCACATGCATACACCAATATTGGCAAGATGTTTAACACACCTATATATATGGCTATATCTCCCATGTCATATCACATCTAACTAAAAAAACTCATGGTTCCAAATCTAGGAAAACATGCATATCAACCCGGCTGAATGAGTAGTCGTAGTCTACTTTATGTTTTTCTTAACGAATTACCTGCACGAGAAGATGAATCTTAACAATTGAAAGGTGAAACCCAAAATTTGACCAAATCACCAAAATGAGCTACGGCATGTAGAAAGTATTGCCCATTAGATTAACATTGAGATAAAAGTAAGCGGATGTAACTGGCAGTTGCAGTTGGATCAAATAGGAGAGAAAAAGCAATCGAAGGTTCCAGGTTGTTGAAGGTAAAAAAAAAGGGAGCGTGATGCATGCAATATATTTTAAGTCCATGAATTTATTTATAATTACATCACCGCACTTTGAACCATCGTAAATTAACATTTCAACCTAAATGATTAATAGATTTACGTATACATTTTTTTTAAAAAATAATCAAAATGATTTTCTTACTCACAATTCATAGTAGGATAGTCATAGTCGTGCAAATGCGTGATTTCATACACTAGTTTTATTGAATAGGGAATAATGAATGAGTACGACTGTCTTTTGGAAAGGGAGTATCTAAAAATCTGTCGAAGTTTTTTGGTCAAAAACTTTCAAATATAACAATAGTATAATTAAAGTGTAATTACATTGTAACTGCACTGAAACTTACCGTAACTGCACTCTAAATAGAACTTATTTAAACTTGCATTCAACAATGATTCGGTTAGATAGAACTGGGATCTTACGCATTCACATGTGTGAAAATTTTTTTTTAGCAAATTTGTTCTCTTCATGCACAAATCTCGAGGTAATCCGATTATCACAAATCTGAATGTTTTGGGGGCAAAGAACTTGCGGAAGTTTTCGGAAGTTTTCTAGTAAATCCGTTTTGGAAAAGAAAAAATATAGATTACGTAGGGTTAACTCAAGTAAGTGCTTGGCCTTGGCAGTCGTCCACATCCTCACCTTCTTTATTTTTGCAAATCCTAGCTAAATGCCCATGCGTTGCAACTGGATTTTAAGAAAATAACCCATCATATACGGTAGCAAAATGAAGTTATTTTCACTCTCCAATCTATGGTCATTGTTAATATCATTTTTACACATATGTCCAACTACATAGTTTGACTGATAAACTCGTATTTGATCCATGTAATAAACGAGGTCTTTTACTGTGCTTGAGAGGTACCTCCAGTACCTCCCTCTCGGATAAACACGCACTATTGATTTAATAAGGATAGTTTAGGAATAAAAATATTGTAAACATGGATAGTACTGTAACTTCCTACCAAAGTTTCCGTCTCTAATCTGCTTCTGCGGCTTCTGTAGAGCTTCCGATACATGTTCATGGGACTCATTCAATTTCCATATCAATCATTTATTCCCATTTTGTTGTGACTTAGTCACGTACTCCCTCCAAGTCGTTTCGATTTTTTTCTAATCAAACTTATTTAAATTTGACCAAATTTATATAAAACATAATAACATTTTTAACACAACAAATATATTGTCAAAATATATTTAATATTAGATTTAATAAAATTAATTTAATGTTTTAAATGATATTAATTTTGTTGTTAAATTTGTTCAAATTTAATAAAGTTTTAAAAAAAGTCAAAACAATTTATAATATGAAACGGCGGGAGTTGAATTGATCTTTTTTCCCTTTTGTTGAGATACTATGAGAATATGGCCGTATAGATTAAAGGAAAATATGTACACGATTTTCAATTAGTTTATCAGTTTTATCATTAATTACACAATTACTAATCGCGAGGTTAGTGGCGCATTAGACTATTCTCAACCCAATGCTGTCCATAGTATTAAATAAACTGTCATCTAAAATAGAAAATGATGTGGCAAGTGAATAAATGAGGAAAGAGAATAAAACCATGTCTTGCATCAGACATGGTTTCTACACAACATCTAAGACATCATGTAAGATAAGTAGCATTAAATTTAAGTATGAAATAGTGGTGTTTGCATTGGAATAGTAGTGTCTAGTACTAGTTTCTTGATGAAGTGGAGTTTATAGAAACTATGTTTAGTGTCTTGGGTTGGAAATGGCCTTAGACCCCTTACCGATCACGCCACATCATGATTTAATTACCCTCTCTCAGTCTTATCGCTGTAAAATCAAGATAACTACCTATTTAACCTTCCACATAACCTACAAATTAAGTACCTTGGCCACTTTTTACTACCTTTTGGAAGATACCTTTCTCTGTGGACCATTAGATTTTAGTTGATTAACGAACCATATAACTTCCAAGCACCGGAGAACCAAAATAAACAAAATAGTAAAAAAAAAAAGAAACAAAATAGGCTGGGAGCTAGCATGCTAGCAGCAGGTTGTGGGGGAAATCAGGAAATGGGTAAAAGTTCCCCTTCAGTGGTCCCACATTTCAGAGTGGCGGTGGTTCTGCCATCCCTGTGTTTTTATATAGGATATAGGAAAATCACCCAGAGCTTCTTGTGCCAAAAAAAAA